GGATCAGGAAACTACAAATTAAAAGTACAAGATGGCACCACAAATCCACCAGGAAAAACTGACAGTACCGTATGTTGGCAAGGACATGGAGCAATGGTATTACTCATACACTGCTGGCAGGAGTGGAACTGATTAATATCACTTTGGAAGCTTGTTACACAGACATATCACAGGACCAACAATTCCACTCCAAGGTACATACACAGCATAAAAGTGTTTAATGCACACCAATAGTCAGATAAAGGAATATTCATAGCAGCAATGGTCACAATAGCTCCAAACTGGAAACAACACAAATATTCATCAAGAGTTGATAGATAAATAAATTGTGATATATTTATAAGATGAACACATCAATGAAAAAGAACAAACTTCTGGTACATACAATGTGGATGAACCTTATAAACATAATAGTGAGCAGAATAATACACTTTATATGATTCCATTGACATTAAAAAACAAAACAAAACAAAAAAACAGGCAGACCCAGAGTGTTTAGGGATGCAAATCTGAGCTATTTTCATAAAAGTCAAGATAGTAATTAGTTTTAAGGGGATGAAAGGGCAGTGATTTGGAAGGAGCATAAAGAGGGCTTGTAGGACTAGCTCTATAATACAGTAGTAGTGCACTACTCAAGAGAAGCTGGGTTCCACATGATGACTGTGATTTGAATCCCTGACCCAGTCAGCCTAAATTGTGCCAGGCGCACACGTGAGTGCCCAAGATCCAACAGGCTGGAGGATTGGAGGAAGGTCATCGTGTTGTGACTAGATCTTGTGTGGGTGCTTGTCTTTCTTTTACATGCATGCACACATACTCTATCATCAATTAAGGAAAAAAAAAAGCTTATGAAGAGTGGTAATGTTATACATCTTAACCCAAGTGATAACTGCATAGCTGTTGACTGAGATAACCATTAAGCTATAAAACTTTGTTTTGTGTACTTTATATAGAATGTATGTTAAATCACACAATTAGAAAAATGTAAAGGGGGAAGGCATGATCAACTAATGTTCATGCTATAGAAAGCTGCTACAAGGTTTAGGAAGAAGAAGACTTACATAGAAATCATTAATTACCTTAATGAGTAGACTACAGGGGACTGGAGCACAAATGAAGCATGTTGAGCAAGAATGGGAGGTAAGAAATGAAGACAAGAATGTAGACAACTGATTAGAAAAGTCATGGTATGAAGGAGAGCAAGGATGTAGGGTGATAATTAGAAAGGAATGTAGGGTTGAGAGAATATATTTTGTAGTTTTTGCTTTAAGACGGAAGCTATTAAAGATTGCATTCTGTTGAGAATAAGCCAGTCAAGAATAAGAAAAAATAGAAAAGATAGAAGAAGTATGTGCAAGAGTGAAACCCTTGGAAAGACTTAGGACAAGAGCACACCATGTGGAGATTGACATTTAACATAAACAGGAGAAAGTGATGAACCTACAACACTCATGAACACAATATTGAGGGATTTTCTAATGTAGGAAACAGAAGAGAGGAGGAGGCATGCAGTCAGGGCAAGCAGAATGGGAGAAGGCAGCGGACTACGCCTTCTAAACTGGAAGCATTTCAGCAGATAGAGGATAAGGAGAAAACACTTTGGATAGGGAGGACTCCATGAACAAAAGCCAGTTCTTCAAAGATAAACTTAAGTGGGCAGTGAGTTTATGAAGTAGCAGCTAGTGATAGTTTGTTTGTAGATAACACTTGTAAGAGTGACAGAAGAGGGAGAAAGCACTCTGGAAAGGTAGTTTGAGGCAAATTGCAGATGACTTGCGAGACCAAGAACTATCCTATGGGTATTAAGTAGGTATTACATACTATTCAGATGAAAAAAGATAAGATACAAGTTACTTCATGTTTCAGATTTTTTTAACTCTTTCCTAAAGAGTAGAATAAAGCATGTATGTGAGACTGAGAGCAAGGAGCAAAAATGGGGCAGAAAGGGCTGTTTGAAAGCAATAACACTTGTAGAGGAAAATTAGAACTTGAACTGATTCATTCCATCTTCCCCTAGAACACTCTAGTTACAGTGTTAATCTTACTCTTTAATCATTGCTGATCAGCTCTGGCATGCCAAATTTAGTGCAAGGAGACTACAGTCAAGTTTGCAAGAAAGGAAAAAAAGATCTGTTACATAGATCAAAGGATTAAACAGTATCACTTGATCTTAAAATATAATTATTTCAGATTTTGGGGGAAATTAGGACAGTCAAAAGCAGCCATGAACAAGGGGGAACTTAGAAACTTAGAAAGTGAGGGACCAGCAGTTAGCGTAATGCCTATATCGCTGAACTCCCATGTAGTCGACCGTGGTTTGAGTCCTGGACCTGGTGGCTTAAAACTCACGCCAGGCACGTGTGCGTGCGTGCCCGCCCAAGATCCCGAGAGGAGAATGGAGAAGGGACTGTGGCATGGCCATCCTCCCTGGGGGTGATTTCTCCCTTTCTGTCTCTCTGTCTCTGTTTGGTGAGCACATGTGCCCTATAGCAAAAAAAAAAAAAGAAACTTAGAAAGTGACAAGTATGCCCAGGAAGATGCATGCTTATTAAATTCCTATGAAGATCTTCAGCTTTCATCTACAGCTGACCCCCTAAGCTCAGAGAGAGCCTAGCTAAAGGTGAAGGAACGCCGCAGCACAGAGCAATCTGCAAGGAATGCCGCAGCACAGAGCAATCTGCAAAGACTGGGAGAGGTAAGTGTTCTCTCCCTCTCCCCACCCTCACCCCTGGCCAACTGTCTTTCGCTCTCTCAGTGTTTTTGTTTGTTTGAGTTCATGGCATTCAAGAAAATCTATCAAACAGCTGAACATGAGTTAAGAGAACTAAGACTTTATCTCATTATACGGAGCAACAATCATTGCAAAAGAAGTTTGGAAAACTTAAAAAAAAAGGGGGGGGACACTTTGATAACCTTCAACAATAAAAAGACAGTAAATTCTGAGAAAGATGGAGTATCTGATTTCTAGAGTTACCACATTATGGTAGTGAATTGCTCAATTTTAGGAATGGCAACACAATTGCAGGGCATACAAAGAGGCAGGAAAACAAGGACAAACTTTCTTTGAGAAACCACTATGCAAAGACTTTAAACTACTGCCTTAACTACAAAGAACTAAGAGAAAAACATGGAAATAACAAAAGGAAATCTGGAAAACAAATTCTGAAATGAAACCACACAGAAATTTTGGAGCTAAAAAGTAGTAATGAAATGAAAAATTCACAAGAAGGACTCAAGAGCACATTTGAGCAGATAGAACAAACGATCAGTGAACATGAAGATGGGACAACAGAAATCATGAAGTCTGAGGAGCAGAAAGAAAAAAGAATGAAGAATTGCCACATGGTCCAGCAAACCTATTTCTGGGTATGTACCAAAAAAGTGAAAACGAGGACTCAGATACTTGTACACCAATGTTCACAGCACAATTATTTATTAACAGCCAAAAAGTCAAAATAACACAAAAATCCAGTAACAGAAGAGTGGTTAAACAAAATACGGTATATACCTATAATGCAGTATTATTCAGTCTTTAAAAAAAATTAAACTCTGTGTTTTACAACATGGATGGACCTTGAGAACACTATGTTAAGTAAAATATGCCTGACACAAATAGACAAATACCGTCTTATTCAATTTATGTGAGGTACTTACAATAACCAAACTCATAAAGACAGAAAATAGAACAGAAGTTATCAGGGGTTAGATAAGAGGAGAATGGAGAGTTTCTGTCTAGGATGATGAAAAAGTTCTGGAAATGGGAGTGCTGATGGCTGCACAAGCACAATGTTGTGAATGGACTTAATGCAGATAATCTGTACACTTAAAAACAGTTAAAATGGGGCCCAGTGACTGTGTATTATGCTAAGGTGCTGCTGTTTTGCAAGCTGAGGCCAGATGAGATAGCCTGGTTAGATTCTCAGCCCACTCAAAAAGCTAGGTGCGGGGGTAAACAACTGTTGTCCCAGCTACTTGGGAGGCTAAGGCAGGAGGATCATGACAGAGTGTGACTGTCTTTTAAAAAAATGTTAAAATAGGGGACCAGCAGTTAGCGTAATGGCTATGTCACTGGACTCCCACGTAGTCGACCACGGTTCGTGTCCTGGACCCAGTAGCTTAAAACTCACGACAGGCGCGTGCGCATGCGTGCCCAAAATCCTGAGAGGAGAAGGGAGGAGAAGGGATTCCGGCATGGCCATCCCCCCTGGGGGGTGATTTCTTGCTTTCTGTCTGTCTCTCTCTGTCTGTCTGGTGAGTGCACATGCCCTATAACAAAAACCTCTAAAAAAAATGTTAAAATAGTAACATTTGTGTTATATATATTTTACCAGAATAAAGAAAAATAAAAGAAAGAAAAAAGAAGCCGACACATAAGAGAAAAGCACTCAAGGCCAGCCAATGGCTTAGTGGTTAAGGGACCTGGATCCCACATGGCTGACTACATGGTTCAAGTCCCAGACCTAGTGGCTTGAAAAATACATTGATGTGGGACCAGCAGTTAGCGTAATGGCTATGTTGCTGGACTCCCATGTAGTCAACCATGGTTCAAGTCCCGGACTCGATGGCTTAAACTCCACGCCGGGCGCGTGTGCGTGCATGCCCAAAATCCCGAGAG